ATAATAATAATAAAGGAAAAGTGTTCAACATTAAGGAATGGCTGTCTTACTGCAGTCCCCACATAAATGAAAATAAAGAAATCTGAAAAAATAAGAACTCCTACTCTTCCTGCTGTCTTACTCAAACACTATACCTCTAGGTTGCTCCGCATCTGCTTCTCTTCCTCCAACTCTTTTTTCAATTTTTCCAGTTCTTTCCTTTAAAATTAAAGATACACTTCATTAACTTTGATGTTCACACATTTTGTTAGGCCAGGTGGCCTAACAAAAATAATTCATAGTTTACAGGCTTCACTTGGACAAGAGTGCACAAAGGGGAGTTGCTCAACTGAACTAATTTGGGAACAGGGTGCTGACCCTGGAACCTCTGTTCTCACCCTGTCCTCTTCAGTGAGCCAGAAAGATCCCTAATTCATTCAGATGTAGGATCTCCAGGATCCAGAGAGATGAAACCAGCTTAAACCTCTCCCCACAGCACTTTCTCTGTTCAAGTAAATAGCTGTGATCATTCATATACACAAACATTACCAGTGAAGGTCACAATCATTTTAGTAGGAACCATAGAAGTATGCAATACTGAAGAAAGACATAAAAAACTAAGAAATGAAGGTGAAATGTAGACCCAAATTTAGATGAAAAGTTGTGAACAGCTCTTACCCATGCTCCTTTTTCAGTGTTTCCACAACAGTTAGCAACTCAAAGATCTGAAGCTTGAGCTCTTCCAAAGAAGGCTTTTCCCTTTCATCGGCTTCCTGTTTAAGTTTTGTTTCCACAGCAGTAGAATTGAGTACAACAGAACTTGGTCTTGGTGATGAAGATAGAAATGGTGAGGTGAATACAGTTGGCTGAAATAGGAAGATAAAAATATAAATAGGAAGGGCTTCATCATACTGGCTTTGATGGACACAAAGATTTAGACAATTAATTTCTCAATGAAATGGAAGCATAAAACACTTTGTTCCACATAGATATGTAGTAGTTGAACTGGCACTCTATTATGATTCAGAATAGATTCCTTTTACTACTCATAGAGCAGTAGATCAAAGTTCACTAACACTGTTTATCCATATGACAATCACTCCTCTCTTTTCTCTGCAAAAATCAATACAAGTATGACCTACAACATTTTTTCTATAAACAATCAAACAAAACATTATTTTGGTAACAAGATTTGTGGTATTATTCTGTGAGGTCTTTTTTGTTGTTGCTCAGAATGTGTAGGCATCCTTCAGTCTCGAGAGACTATGGTAACGTGCTCTGAATAGAGGTCTTGGAACAGCGTCTAGTGTGGCTGGGAAGGCCAATTTGAGAGTGACAATCCCTTCCACACTGAAGGCAAATACAATCTGTCCCCTGTCCAGCTCCCTGATTTTGCTGGTTTCGGGACTGCCACTTTGCCTCGGCCTGCTGAACAAGTGTCTCTTCAAATTGGGAGAGACCATGATGCACCGCCTGCCTCTAGGCTGAATGCTCAGATGTCAAGGTTTCCCATCTGTTGAGGTCCATTTCTAAGGCCTTCAGATCCTGCTTGCAGATATCTTTGTATCGCAGCTGTGGTCTCCCTCTGGGGCGATTTCCCTGCAATAAATCTCGACACAGATCTTTTGGAATCCGACCAGCAGCCATTCTCATTACATGCACAAGCCAACATAAACATAGCTGTTTCAATAATGTATACATGCTAAAAATTCCAGCTCGTTCTAGGACTACTATATTTGGAACTTTCTCCTGCCAGGTGATACAAAAAAAATTCATCGGAGACAACGCATATGGAATGTTTTCAACATCCTCTCCTGCCATGCACAAAGGGTCAAGGACTCACTGCAGTTCAGGAGTGTACTTAGAACTCAGGCTCTATACACCTAGATCTTGGTATATGCCATCAGCTTCTTATTAAGCCATACTCTCTTTGTGAGTCTAGAGAACATGGTAGCTGCTTTGCCAATGCGTTTATCCAGCTAGACATCTAGAGAGAGTGTTAAGAGATCATTGAGCCAAGGTACACGAAATCATGAACAAACTCCAATTCTTGTGTAGAGATGGTAATAGAGGGAGGTGAGTCCATGCCCTGGCCCATGACTTGTGTTTTCTTCAGGCTGATTGTTAGTCCAAAGTCTTGGCAGGACTTAATAAAATGGTTCATAAGTTGTTGGAGCTCTTCCAGCAGAATGGGTAACAACAGAGGCATCATCAGCGAAGAGGAAGTCCCGCATGCATTTCAGTTGGACTTTGGTCTTTGCTCTCAATCTAGAAAGATTAAAGAGCTTTCCATCTGATCTAGTCTGGAGATAGACAACTTCTGGTGCAGTTCCAAAAACATGCTTCAGCATGACAGCAAAAAAGATCCCAAACAGTATGAGGTATGAGGACACAGCACTGTTTCACTCCGCTTAGGATGTCAAAGGCATCTGATGTTGAGCATCTGAAATGAGTGCCCTTCATTTCCTCATGAAAGGACCTGATGATGTTAAGGAGTCGAGGTGGACATCCAATATTGGGAAGTATTTTAAAAAGGCCATCCCTGCTAACCAAATCAAAGGCCTTTGTGAGATCTATGAAGGCCACAAAGAGTGGTTGTCGTTGTTCCCTACATTTCTCCTGCAACTGTCTGAGGGAGAATACTATGTCAGTGGTGGGTCTATGAGCTCAGAATCCACACTGTGATTCTGGATAGACTCTGTCTGCAAGCACCTGGAGCCTCTTCAGCACAACACGGGCAAGCAGCTTTCCTACAACGCTGAGAAGAGAGATGCCACAGTAGTTATTGCTTTCGCTTTTGTTCTTGTGCAATGTGATGATGTCTGCATCCTTCATGTCCTATGGTACTCCACCTTCCCTCCAGCAAAGACAGAAGATTTCATACAGCTCAGTCATGATGGTCTCTTTACAGCACTTCAACAGGGATGTTATCCTTCCTAGGTGCCTTGCCGGAGGCGAGGGAATCCAAGCCCACTTTTATTTCTGCTAAAGTTGCTTCGCTGTCCAACTCTTCCAAGACAGGCAGGCACTCAATGTTATTTAATGCCTCTTCGGTTACTACATTCTCTCTAGAATATAGCTCAAGTAGTGCTGCCCCCAGTGTTCCATCTGCTGTGCTTGGTCCTGGATGATCACACCTGTAGCAGACTTCAAGGGAGCAGATTTCTTCTGTATTGGACCTAAAGCCTGCTTGAAACTGTCATAAATTCCTTTGATGTTACCTGTATACGCTGCTTTCTGTATCTGAGAGCAAACTTGAAGCCAACAATTGTCAGAACATCTCCTGGCAGTCTGTTGGACTTTGCTATGAGCAACTCGAAGAAACTGCAAATTGTACTCACTACGACAGGCTTTGTATGCTGCTAGAGCTCTCCTCTTTTCCTTGATGGGTGGCATCAACTCCTCCGATTGGGCTTCAAACCAATCTGCCGACTTTTTGGTCTTCTTGCCAGATGTGGACAAGGCAGTGTTATAAACAGTGTTCTTGAAATGTTCCCAACGTTCAGGTGCATTTGCAACAGCCAGGCCTGGAAAAGCTTCATCAAGCGCTTTGGCAAATTCCTCCACTTTTCTCTGATAGCAAGTCTTGCTGATGTCAATACGTGGTCTTCCTTCCTTTTCTTGCGATACAATCTCTTTATTCACAGTTTTACTCTGCTACTCACCAGGGAGTGATGAGTATTTCAATCAGCACCCTAATAACTGTGTGTGATCGTAATACTAGGAATGCTAGAGCGTCTAGTAAAGATCAAATCAAGTTGATCCAAATGTTTCGATCTTGGATATCTCCAAGAGACAGATTTGTATTAAAGAACGTGTTGCTGACACAAACACCATAGTAACAGCAAAACTCCAGCAAGTGTTGGCCATTTTCATTCATCTTCCCAATGCCAAAACAGCCTAGACAAGTGGGCCAAGAACTGTGATCAGCACCAACTCTAGTGTTAATGTCTCCGAGAATGAACAGTGTCTCTCTCTCAGGGACTTTTTTGATAGTAGCTGCCAGATCGTCATAGAATTTGTCTGTCTCCTGTTGTGGACGACAGTTTTGGTGCATATGCCCTGATGAGGGTGACCGGTCCTGCTGATGAGTGGAGTTGCAGAGACAGGATTCTTTCACTCCCCACTGTAGGTGGAACAATGGATTTCAGCAAAATATTTCTCACCGCAAAGCGAACACCATATTCCCTGGCCTCATTCAATGGTTTTCCCTGCCAGAAGAATGAGAATTTTTTTTCTGTGACAGAGTCCGAGTCTGGCAATCTCATCTCTTGCAATGTCAGGTTGCAGCCTACTTAGTTCCATGTCAATGACAGTTGTTTTGCGTGTGTTGCCTATTGCCTGCAGGTCATCAGAAAAGTCAGGGGTCATGGTCCGAACATTCAAGGTGCCCAGCTTTAGGGCAGAAGTTTTCTTATGATTATTGCATGCTGCAGGGTTATCGATCTGCTTATCAGCTTTCTCCCTAAACTCCACACACCCCGTGAGTCTAACAGACCGTGGTGAGGCAGCACCTTACTGGCTGGGGGCTGCCCAGCTTAAGGCAGGCGGTAGCTACCTAGTGAAGTGCAATGATTTGTCCCACCATTGGAAGTAGCTCCTGGCGTCATGCTCTACGCCAACTTAGCAAAGACTTATAACCGGTAACTGCTACTTCCCATGTTATTTTGATGCTCTATGCAAAGCTGCAGTGTCCTCTCCAGAGCACGAAGCCCGGGTAAAATAATATGGACTGTTACCCAAGCATAAAATCCCCCCTTCTCCACGTTACTGAAGTTCAATGGAAAAGCAAGAGCCAATACAACTGGTTCCACTGAAGTTGCAGGAGTTGCCAGAATGGCATGAACTGCCTCCGGGACTCCAGCTCCAGATTTTGCCTCGAGGTAAACTCCTGAAGCCTTTTCCATCGGTGGATATAGCCACAAGGCAGTGGAGGTTTGAAATTTGAGTTTTCCTTCTCCTAGATGGGCTGCCTTCAAAGGCTAACGAGCCCCACGTACTAGGGTGCATAGATTACCATGCTTTTCAGGCATGAAAAGGAGTATAAAAGGGGTGGAAAAGGAAGGGGGGCAGAAAGCAGTTTAGAAGTGGTGGAGATGGAAAGGGGAGGAGTTTGGAAGGGGTAGAGATGGAAGGGGGAAGAGAGGAGTTTGGAAGGGATGAAGATGGAAAGGGGAGGAGAGGAGTTTGGAAGGGATGGAGATGGAAAGGATATGAGAGTAATTTGGAAGGGGTGAAGATGGAAAGGGGAGGAGATGAGTTTTGAAGGGGTGAAGATGGAAAAGGGAGGAGAGGAGTTTGGAAGGGGGTGGAGATGGAAAGGGAGAGGAGAAGAGTTTGGAAGGGGGTGGAGATGGAAAGGGAGAGGAGAAGAGTTTGGAAGGGGGTGGAGATGGAATTGCTCAGAATGCTGGAAGAGCATTTGCCTCCGCTAAATAGCACTGAACTACTCAAGATAAAAAGTCTAGCAAGATATCCACTTATCAGCATATAGTTATCCTGAGTTGATAATTATTAAACATAATGTTGGACATAACATAAGCAATGACAGCACTCTACCTTTTTTACTTCAGATGGCTTTGGTTTGGCACTTTCCACCTCCTTGTCCTCCTCTTTATGCACCTTCACACTTTTCTCTATGGTTTGAGCCTGGAGGGGAAAAAAGAAACATAAAATAGAAAGCAGTAGTCTTTCAGAGGTATATTTGCAACTACATATCATCTAATCTGCATGTTCAAAATGTTTTATTTGTGATGCTCTTTCTCCCTTCTGCTTGTTTGTAAGATACATTTATCTTTCACACAGCAGACTGAAAGCACAGAAGTGAAAAAATTATTAAATATATTACTAAGCAGAGAAAGATTTCAATATTGGTCAAGAAATCTAGAATGGATCCCATGTTCATTACATTTTTCAAAAGTTTAAGCTATTAGTTCTTATATCTCACCACATGAGCCAAACTAAACCATGTCTGTGGTATTCCCTAAATAATTTCAGCCCTATTCTCTCTCAGTGTTGGTAAGTTTGGTAACTTAAAGAGGTCTTAAAATAGCCACATTTTTATGTATATTTTCCCATTATTCATTTTGCTTCAAGATCATTGGAATATTCTCCATTTTAACTTGTCCGAAAAGAGAGGTTACTTACCTGTAACTCTGGTTCTTCGAGTGGTACTCTGTGAATTCACACTAATGGGTTAAATCTGTGCCAGCGCAGAGATCTCTGGAATATTCTAGAGCTTTGTGCTAATTTAGGCAGGACCGCCCTCCCCCATCCACGAGGTCTGCCCTCCCTCCAAAGTAACTCAGTTCTATAGTCTGCCGTTGCATCAAAGGATACAGGAGTGACGGACAGAGGGGAGGACGGGTGGGAAGTGTGAATCCACAGAATACCACTCGAAGAATCAGAGTTACAGGTAAGTAACCTCTCTTTCTTCTTCATGGTCTCTGTGAATGCACACTAATGGGTGACTGACCAGCTTACCTCATTGGTGGAGGGACGTCACAACATGATTGAAGAAATCATGCCCCTCCGATGCCCATCCAAAGGATGCATCAGCCTTGGCCCTCAGGTCCAGTCTGTAGTGGGCAGCGAATGTAGATGGTGTGGACCATGTAGCAGCTTTGCAAATGTCTGGGAGGGAGACTCCATGAAGAAAATCTGCAGACATAGCAGTAGCTCTGGTCGAGTGAGTTTTGATTCCAGCAGGCAATGGTTGCTTAGCGAGTTGATAGGCTACTTTAATAGTTGAAACCAGCCACCTGGAAATTGTTTGCAAGGATACATGGGAGCCCCTATGAGGGGGATGTGGTGAAATAGTCTTTTAGATTTTCTGAAAGAAGACATTCTGGATAGATTGAAGGCGAGAGCTCTCTTGACAACAAGTAAGTGTAGCAAGCATTCCAGGTCCGTTGTAGGGGACGGAAAAAACGTAGGGAGGATAACAGGTTGTGATAGATGAAACACTCAAATGACCTTAAGTAGGAATGACACATCTGGGAATAAGGTATCCTTGTCGGGATGGAATTGTAGAAATGGAGGATCAATTCTCAGGGCTGCAAGCTCAGAGGCTATGCGAGCAGAGGTAATGGCAACAAGAACCAACATTTTGAGTGACAGAAGGTATTCAGACGTATTAGCAAGTAATTCGAAGGGAGGATGGGAAAGGAAGTGCAGGACCAGAGAGAGAGACCACTGTGGAGGTGGTGAAGGAGCTGAAAGTCACATGTTGGCGACACCTTTCAAAAAACGTTTGAGTTTTGGGTGTCAAAAAAACATGGTAGCTTCTGTATCTTGTGGTTGACGAGCTATGATCGTGGACAGGTAGACTTTCAATGTGGAAAGGGACAGTTGTTTGTGAAATAAGTAGAAGAGAAATTGCAAGACAGTTTGTAAATTTGTTGAGTAAACTGGTAAATTATGTTGATTAGCACATCTGGTGAAAGTAGACCATTTATATGAATATAGTTTGGTCATGGAAGGCTTGTGAGCATGAGCTAAAATTTCATTCACTGAGGCAAGATTCTCCAGGCTGTAAATTCATACATCTGGGTGATGGGTTTGCCCCTGGTGTTGCGACAGCAGGTGTGGGATTAGAGGGAGGTGAAGATAGTCACTACTCATGGATTTTAGCAGTGTCAACCAAGGTTGTCTCGGTCACCATGGAACGATGAGGATTGCATTGGTGTGGTCTAGTCTGATCTTGGATATGGTTCGGAGGAGAACTGGGATGGGAAGGAACATGTATATAAGGCTTCTGGACTAGTCAGCCATTAGGGCATCTCCTGAGATCCGCGTCCTATTCTGGCTCTTGAATAGAACGTGTCACATTTGGTATTGCTGTGGGTGGCAAACATATCGATGTCAGGAGACCCCCAGTGGTTGCAAAGATTGTGATAGACTGTGTGGTCTAGTGAGCACTCATGCATTTTGGTCTGTAAACAGCTGAGTTCATCTGCCACTGTATTGTTGTGTGTGGCAATATAGACTACCATGGGAAAGATATGATGTTCCAGACACTATTCCTAGATTCGAACTGTCAGGTAAAGAATTGGAAGGGAGTGGGTGCCTCCCTGTTTGTTTAGGTAAAACAATGCGGTTGTGTTGTCTGTTGCGATTTGCACATACTGTCAGTTACAAGTGGTTCGAAGGCTTTGAGTGCTTTGAAAATAGCCAAAAATTCTAGATTGTTTGTGTGAAGAGTCTTTTCTGTGTGTGACCACGTGTCATGGATTCATAGATTGTTGCAGTGTGCACCCTATCCAGTGATGCTTGCATCTGTTGTAATTTGTATTGTGGGTTGCAGAGGGGAGAAAGAGCGACCCATGAGTAGATTGGATGGGTTGTCCCACCAATGAAGCTGGGAAGAGTGTTCTGGTGTTACCCTGAGAAGTTTTGATTGAGGGTCTGTCATGGGATTGAAGGGGGTGAGAAACCAGGCCTGGAGGGATAGGAGTTTTAGCTTGGTGTGAAGAATTGTTGACATTGTTGAGGCCATAAGGCCTAGAAGACGTTGAGCAGTATGGGCGGTAATGTAAGCGTGTGGGCAGAATTGGCTTATTAGGGTGTGATGCTTGGTGATTCTTTCTTGAAGGAGAAAAACTCTCGCCCTTGTGGAGGCCAATAGGGTGTTGATATAATGTGCTGGGTACGCGTGAGAATTGACTTTTGTTTGTTGACTTTTAGGTCCAGATCTGCCAGGAGGGAGAGTGTTATTTGGGTATCTTTCAGAGCTCATGTGTGGGATGGAGTAACCACAAGCCAGTCATCTATGTATGGGAAGACTGTAACTCCCAAGGTACGTACATAGGTGGGCTGCCACGGGTGCCATACACTTTGCAAATACTCTCAGTGCTGTGGAGAGGCCAAAGGGGAGGGCCTTGAACTGGAAGGCATGGCATCCTACAGCGAACTGGAGGAATTTGTGATGCTGTTGACGTATGTTGATATGAAAGTATTCATCGCTTAGATCTATTATGGCAAACCAATCGCCTTGTTGAAGTACAGTGGTGCCTCGCTTGATGACGTTAATTCGTTCCAGCGAAATCGCTGTAGAGCGAAAACGTCGTCAAATGAAATGAAAAAAACATTGAAATGCATTGAAAACCATTCAATGTGTTCCAATGGGCTGAATACCTGCTCGTCCAGCGAAGATCCTCCATATGGCGGCCATTTTCGGTGCCTGTAAAGCGAGGAAGCCATCCTAGAAAACAGTGGGGGGCCATTTTCTTCAGCTGGCGGCCATTTTGAAACCCAACGATCAGCTCTTTGCTGATCGTCGTAAAGCGAAAATCAGTTCCCAAATCAGGGAACCGATCATCGCAAAGCAGAAAAACCCCATTTAAACCATCGTTTTGCTATCGCAAAAACCTAATCGTACAGCGATTTCCTCGTTAAGCCTGTATAAGCAAAATTCATTCTAGCATTACCATCCGAAACCGTTTTGAGATGATGTGATAACTGAGATCCCGTAGATCGAGAATAGGTCTTAGTCCTCCGTCTTTTTTCAGAATAGTGAAGCAACGAGAAAAAACCCTGGATGGTTTTCTGTGATAGTAGTGGGTGAAATGGCGTCCTTTGAGAGGAGGGACTGGACCTCTTGTTGAAGGATATCGGATGGTGGGAAATTAAATAAATAATAATAATAATAAGGATATCGGATGGTGGTGTCATGACGAAGTTGTGAGGTGGTGAGCCTGCAAATTCTATGGCGTAGCCAGTGGTGATGATGGTAAGTACCTAGTTGTCTGATGTGATGGAAGTCCAGACTGGAAGATGTGGTGACAACCGGGTGGTGGATGTACGGGAAGGTAGGTGTGACGGATCTGGTTCATAACAAAGTCAAAGGCCCTGCTTTTGTTTCTTGTCAGGGCAGAGAAATGATTGTTTTGGTCTCTGTTGCTGAACTGTATTTTTTGGTTGGAAACGGGTGGTAGATTGTGATGAATATTTGTTTTTATCGTAGTATGATCGTGACTGCTAGTATTGGTAAAGGTGACGCTATTGTGGTCGGTATGGTCTGTAGCATTGTTGAGTATTGTATGATCGTGCAGTTTTCTTTAATTTTTGCAGGTTTTCCAGAATGTCGTTGGTTTTATCATCAAAGAGGCTGGAACCGTTAAAGGATAGGTCCTCAATTGTCATTCTGCCATCATCTGGTATCTGGGCGGATCTCAGCCATGCGTATCTGCAGAGGGCTATTGCTGCGACCATTTGTCTAGAGGAAGCATCAATGATGTGCCTGGTTGTTATTCTTGCCTGGTGTTCCAGGGCCATAGCCTCCTGGTGGAAGGCTAGTCCTTGTGTCTTGTATTCACCTCAGGCAGACTGGAGAGATGTGAGGGTTTTGGTCCATAAGTAGCGGTGGTATGCTCCCATTGCTGCAATATAATTAGCAACACGAAGGTTCAACAATGCAAGAGAGTACACTCTGCGGGCTGCAACATCCAACTTTCTTCCCTCTTTATTGTTAGGCGTGGTGGAAGAGCAGTTGCACGCTCTGTTTTGAGTAGTGGCAACTATCAATGAATTAGGTGGTGGGTGTTTATAGAGGAATGTGGTGTCATTTCCATGAGTTCCCTAAAAGTTTTCTACTTTACGTGACATTTGTGGGATAGACTTTGGTTTAGACCAAGTTTGCTTGGTCAAGTCAAGAAGAGATGGTATGAAACTCAAGCTTGGAAGAAGAGTTTGTTGTTAATGTCCTCATATACTTTGTAAAATCAGTTGTGAGTATGATGAAAATCATCTGAAGGTGACGGTGGGTCATTACAATTACTGTTAGAGTCAGGTGTTGGTAGGTTGGGAATAGATCTTTGGTCCGGAACAGAGAGAGAGGAATGTGTGGAAGTAGAATGTGATGAAGGAGCAAGAAAAGATGGACCATTGAATGGTGGCATTGAAATTGGTGCAGTATGGTGAGATTTAGATAGAGATAGAGTTAGTGCTGGTGGATTATGATGGATTCTAGACGATTGATGTTAGGGGAAGGCGGAGCGGTGTGAAGAAAGTCTCTTACAATTAGAAATAATGACGGATTCAACTGAAGTGAAAAAGTAATAAGCAATCTGTTCTTTCTTTAGAAATCACAACAGCAAAGGGGAGCAGCTCGAAGAGGAGACTTCATGCAGCGGCGGTAAAAAAGAACTGAGGTACTCTGGAGGGCGGGTGGACCTTGTGGAGGGGGGTTCCTGCCTAGATTAGCATAAAGCTCTAGAATATTCTGGAGACTTCTGCGCAGATTTAACTAGTGTGCATTCACAGACACCACAAAGAACATACGGCTATCAGTATTTTATGTATGCCTTGAGCTTTGTCATCTCCACTAGCTGCCAATCTGTTTCTGTGCCAAGTTGAAAGCATTGATTTTAATCCATGCAGCAGAAAATGTTGTCAATCAATCCAGGTCACCTTAAGGAGCCACAGCACTCCCCTTACATCTCATGAACTAAGATCAATTGAAGAGAAGATGCTTGAAGCAGAACACTGGTGAAAGAAGTGGGATCCAATAGAAGCACATAATTAAATCCTGTCCCATTATCACCATCAGACTAATATTCCACTCAGGATCACTCCTTTCAGTTCATTTGCATTATGAAACAGAAGACTGGAGTTTTTGTTTATAATATTAGTGTGCCTGATCTCTAGCCCCCACCATTTTGTATACCCCAAAGATCCCCTTTTCTCAAAGGGCTCTTGTCACAGGGAATGCAAAAATGTAGCTGGTGTACCTTTCTCAAGAAAGGAAAACCCAGACAAGATGGCAACCTTATATTCTACTCTTCCAGCTTTTTACTGATTTCCCTCTTTTGTCATCTTCCCATTACACCAGCATTCATTCAGCATTTTCTGTTCTTACTCTCCTCTTCCCATACATACATATGTGCATGAGCGCATACACACACACACACACACACACACACACACACACACACAGAGAGAGAGAGAGAGAGAGAGAGAGAGAGAGAGAGCTTACAAGGCAGAGCTTGTGTTGCTGGATTCCAGCAAAGGGCAGAAATGAAGATTTAAATAGCCTGATTTTCTAGAGTCCCATTGAAAACAAATTGAAAACAACTTGACCACATACCAGGCTTCCTACAGTTGAGGAGCCACCAGACACTGAGAAGCCCTCTAACCAATGTTCCCTCTAGTTTTCCACCAGCACTAAGCAGAAACATCACCCCACATGTGCAAACTTCCAACTGCAACCAGAACCAAATGAGCACCAATGTGTGGCACCAATACAGCACTGAGCACCCCATGCAGCTTAGAGGGAATGTTGCCTCTAGCCTCTGAGGAACCTATTATCTCATGTTTAGTGACTCAACATGGCATTGCAAGCTACATTTATACCGATTACAACTAATTAATGTATCTTAAAAGACAAACATGAATTTTAAAACCAAACTAACTTGCACGGTTCCCTTAATAGGTATGCCATCATGTCATTGGGGCAACCAGTCCTGGGCAGACCAATACATGCACATACTCCTTATTATGAATGTACTCACAGAATTATTGCCATTGAAGCGAGCAGGAAGCCTCCTGCCAAGCATCTTCGGCCTATTTGCTGTGGGATGTGATAAATTATCTGAGGTAGATTTAATATCATCAAAACTTAAAAGGTCTAGAAGAAAATTGAAAGGAGAAGGCACAATTAAAATGTTGAGAAGTTTCAGAAGGTAACAGTTTAGACTCTGCTTGGACGTTATGTTAATTAAGAAGCCAACAATATGATGTTATCTTCCATATTTCTTTAGAAACAAGAACTAGAGTGACTGTTAATGAGCTAAAAATGATATTGAATTTTTAAGCAGACAAAAGAAACTAGGAGCAACTTAAGCTACATTTTCAATGCAAATGTAGAGCTGAATGTATAATATGTTGATCTCTACCAGAGTGAGTTTACAATTAAACACTGAAGCAAAGCATACAACTAAAGTAGATATAGCTGATCTATTTCTTGTATGACCTAGAGATAGCTACAAATTACTCAAGAATTCAAAGGCTAGAATTGTACTGGAATTTTACCCTTGAGTAAGTGAAACTGTGTAAGCAGCAGCAAATTGCAGCTAATTAACAAGATGCTGGTCACATGCCTAGTTATATGGCAATCATGCGACCTGCACCTTGTGAATTACTGTAGCTGTGATTTGCCCCTATAATTTATGTGATTTAACTTACTTTGCAGGAAAATTCCAGTAAGAGTTTGGCTAGTATATTTACGTGGAATATGGAAACTTGCCCAATAGCAGTGATGGGTTGTAAAGCATTCAGTTCTTAAAACTGAGCTCCTTGAAGTATAGATTAAAGAATTATACTTAATGGTAGATAATACATGGATTTACAAAAAAAAATTGCAGTTTGGGGATTATTCTTCCTACATCATGCTCCTCTCTTCCCCTCTAGTTATGTACACTTATCCTACTCATAAAACAGCCTCTGAGACACATGTCTTATGCAAAACTCACTCAGCCTTACTGTTCTAACATTAGATTTCAAAAAATATGTTCTTTATATCTCTTCATACCATTACCTGCTATATTTATTCTTATATATTCTAAGCAGCTGAAGCACCCATTACACAGACTACACAGCTGCACTCAGCCAGTGGGCCTTAAATTCTCACCTTCCACATAATGTTGCTCAGACTCATCTCTTTCCTCCCGAACCCACATCATCTTCTCACTTGACACCATCTGCTTTGCCTACAAGAGTTATATAATCTGAAGATCTTTCTAAAGTACAGTAATACAAGATCCAGACCATTTAGAGCCTTACAAGTCAATATCAGAGCCCTGAATTGGGTTTGAAAACAAACTGGCAGAAATGTCTCATAGTATTGTCTTAATACTAGCAAGAAATTTACCAGCAAGATATTCTAGTGATTTTTTTTTGCACTTACAGTCATAGCCAAAAATATTGGCACCCTTGCAATTGTGTCAGAAAATGCAACCGTTCTCTCATAAAATTGTTGCTAATGTTTTGGTACTCACATGTTCATTTCTTTGGTTTGCATTGGAATAACACACACACAAAAAAAAACAGAGAAGAAAAGTCAAAATCTGATATGATCCCACACAGAAACCCAAAAATGCACTAGCCAAAATTATTGGCACCCTTAATATTTGGTAGCCCCCCCTTTGGAAAAAAATAACTGAAATCAATCGCTTCCTGTAACCATGGATGAGTTTCTTACCCCTCTCTACTGCACTTTTGGACCACTCTTCTTTTGCAAACTGCTCCAGGGCCTTCAGATTTGAAGGATGCCTTCTCCCAAGTGCTGCTTTGAGATCTCCCCACAGGTGTTCCATGGGATTCAGATCTGGACTCATTGCTGGCCATTTCAGAACTCTCCAGTGCTTTGTTTGTAACCATTTCTGAGTGCTTTTTGAAGTGTGTTTCGGGTCTTGTCCTGCTGGAAGACCCATGACCTCTGGTGGAGACACAGCTTTCTGACACTGGGCACTATGTTGCACCCCAAAATTCTTTGGTAATCATCAGATTCCATGATATTGTTCACACAGTCAAGGCATCTGTAAGCTTCATCCGTCTCCAGGGAGATCAGACGAGCCGGGAATAGAGAGATTCTGGAGATTAGTCAGTCCCTATGTGGCTAAGGTGAGCCCAAACTCAGCCAGGATACTGCCCTGAATCTCCTTCCTCAAGTCTACCCCCTTTGTTAAGAAAAGAAAGAAACATAACACAAACCATGAGTTAGAACTCAGGTGAAATATGGGCTCTGTGGTAGAAAAATACGTGGCCAATTAATCAGGCTATTCTGTTCAAGAGACCAAAACATGAAATCTTATGCATTACAGTTTTTATTAAGAAATATAGCTCTAAATAGAATTCAGTGTATTGCAAAGTAAAGCATTTAGTAACATTTCCAACCAAGACATTTAGATTACCCCACAAACTCCAGCTAAGAAAAATAAAACAAGAAATGCATACTAAGCTAGAATAAAGTATAGGCTTAGCCATCCTTATCTTAAAGAAAAGGCATTCTTACGTATCCAGGAATTCCATAGTCCATCAGGAACTATAAAGTCCAATTGTAGTCCATCAGTCCATTATAATCCATGTTAGGAAAAAGCTCCATTTCAGGAGTTAGAATCCATTTTGGAAAAAAGGCTCTTCTGTCTTTCTCAGCCACACTCCATTTTACAACTTACCCCCCCTTTTCTTCCTCCACAGGATGACCAATTAGGAA